TTTGTGTTTCTAAGAAAATTAAGGTAAATGTTAAATTTTAAAATTACTCACCTTCTCAATGTGTTTCTCAGCCGTCCTTGGATGTGCTTATATGTGATGTATTATTTTTGTCAGATATAAGCCATGAGCCATTAAAGAAACTGCTGTTAGCTATCAACCAACCAACCTTTTTCTTCTCAAATTCTCATCCTCTTCTCGAGTCTTGCTTTCCCTCCCTTCCATCGAACTACGTTCTTCGTTCTCCCGTTTATCCGTGCGGCCCTGCTTTCTTCTCCCGTTCCCCACGGCCTGCGCGCGCGTTCCTCTCTCTCCTCTCCCCCTTTCTCTCTCTCGGTCTCTCCGGGCGACGGCTGGGCGACCGCGCCGCTTCTCCCGTTTATCCGTGCGGTCTTGCCCTTTCTTGTCCCGTTCCCCCCGGCGTGTTCTCTCTCTGCGTCTCTCGGGGCGACGGCTGGACTACCGCGCCGCCGCCGCGGCCTCCCTACGACAGGTGCCTAGTCTCCATCGCGGTGCCATGTCTTCTTCCGGCTCTTCACTGGCGACGAGCACTACCAGGTACGCCCCCTCCCCCCTCCTCTTCAACTTCCTGTGCGAAACCGAGCACCCAAACCCTAAGTTAAGCTATCTGTATGCGGATCTGATCTAATTACACATGTATTATGTCTACTAACCTTGATTTTTTTTGTGACTTTTCAGCTGTGCATGTGTACACCCATGTCCTTTACTGGGTCCGCCACCGCCCCTCTGTACTCCTATACGCTTTACTCCTATACGCTTAGCCTGTTTTTAAGTTTGTAATTCTAGGGTCTGGAGGGAAGCATAGATCTCAAGAGGGGTGAAATTTGGTTGTAATTTCTGAAAATTTCAAGAAGACAAGGGTACGGAGGTAGTTTTGGAGGGATTTGTGAGCAAAGCAGCAGAAATTTGAGGTTGGAGGTAACCATGGTGGGGAAGGAGCTGGTGGTGAAAAGGAATGGCCCTGTTGACATACGTGAGATTTCTGCGAAGGCCACGCTCCGGGAGGTGCGGCAGAGCGGGCACACCTACGTTGAACTTCGGCGTGTTGGGAAGCGTGTCATCTTCTTCTGCACCATCTGCCTCACTGAGTGCTTTAGCGACAACGTGCTGTTCGACCACCTCAAGGGAAACCTGCACTCCCGGCGGTATGCTGAGGCCAAGGTCACACTGTTTGGGCCCATGCCGTGGCCATTTAATGATGGCGTGCTCTTCTTCAACAACTCGCGCGAGAAGGATCCGCTCCTGCTGGACTCAAGCTCGCAGAGCACCAGAGAGCTTGCTCTGGTTCCACAGCCTGAGGTTTCACGGAATGATACTGAGGTGACATCAAAGTTGAGAGATGGTTCAAGCTCCTGTAATGGTGTGAAAGGTGCACGCAATGGTGGAAAAGGCCGTGCTAATGGTAGAATTGCTGCTGTATCTGAAGATCGTGTGCTTTCAAACAGTGGAACTGATGGTCCTCTTGTTATTCCCGGTGTACTGCTAAAGGACTTTGTTTCAGACTTGCCTGTGCATCTTTTGGGCTATGGAAATATTTCATACAGGATCTGTGAAGCTAGCAAGAACTGCAAGAAGATAAGCAAGATCTGGTGTGCTTGGGTAGGACAAGAAGGCTCCCATGGTTCTGAGAGTTGTCACACTTATGGGCAATCTGGCTTTGCCATAGTCAACTTCTCTTATACTTATGATTTGGGCAGGAAGTGGTCTTCTGATGAACAGGACCTTTCTATCTCTGCTGGATCTTTCTTTGTAATTGATGATGCTGGACATCGTAGAAAGCGAATGAAAAAATCATTCTCTGATCAAGAAGCATCTTCAGAAGAGTCAAATGGTCAGAACAGCTCTCCACAGGGCAGTAGCCAAGCTATCGCGACTGGTTCCCCAGCAGGTACCTCACACAATCTTCAAGTTGGCCTCTTATCAAGTAAGTCAGCGAGAAGAGAGTTGAGGAAGCAGAAGCGCATAGCAGCTGAGAAAGTGTGTGATATTTGCGGCAGACCAATGCTTCCTGGAAAGGATGTTGCCACCTTGCTGAACTGCAATACAGGAAACCTAGCTTGCAGCAGTAGAAATTCAAATGGGGTGAGTAGCTTCGAGCATTCTTTGCTATCTCTGTTTCATAATAATGTTTGTTGAAGATTAGAGAGCATGGACCTGTTCACCTTTTTGTACTTTTTTCACCCGAAAATATAGCAATTATATTTCCCCTCCAAATTCCAAATGTTCTGTAATGACTTCTCTACACTTGATTTATGCAGGCTTATCATCTATTTCACACTTCCTGCCTTTTACACTGGACTATATTGTGCCAATACGAGATGCTGAATGACCAAATAGCTAGCAAGGGGAAGAGCAATCGAGGAAGGAAGGCAAAGAATGCACCTAAGAAAAGCAAAATAACATCCATAGTTTGCCCAGAATGTCAGGGTACTGGAATTCATGTCAACGGAGATGAACTTGAGAAGCCAAGCATTTCTTTATCCGAGGTTTGGAGCACATTCAGTCTTCTCCTGTCAGCTCCTGCTCATTTTTCATTCAGGGAACTTTTTTTTGCAAATTACTTTAGTGTAAAGCAACTGTGCACCTGAATTGGTTGGATGTTGGCACTTGCAGATGTTTCGCTTTAAGCTGAAAGCCATTGAAGCTCACAAAGCATGGCTGAAGAGTCCTGAAGTGCTTGAAAACTGTTCCACTGGGCTTCATTTCTCCTCAGAACATGTGGAGAACTCTGAGGTAGCTTCAGAGGCACACTGTTCGTAGCGTTCTGTTAACACAGGTATAATTCACTCACCGTCCCCATTCCCCTTTGCAGGAGAAGGTGATGCCACTGAAGTTGCTTCCTTTCTATGCCGCTGATGGGTAGGGAGATGGGTAAGCTCATCGCTGGCAGCTGCCAGATGATGCTGCAGGTGTTGATGTAAATAAGGTCGCTTGACAGTTCTGGAATCAGTGATGTTAGATGCTTACCTGTTTGTCTGTAATGTAAACGTGTCTTATCTCAGTTAACCTGTGTCCGCCAGATGATGCCTTAGACATTCATTAAACTGGCAACTGGCTGAACTATTGTATTATATTAGGCTGGGTTCACTAAACATGTACGCAGTCCATTTCGTTGGGCTCGCTGCTCCCACGGGACCCATACCATACCATGTTTCTGATCATAGCACTGATGCCATGCTTCTGGTTGCGCCCACCGCCAGGACGCCATGTGCTACACATTTGGTTTGTTATTATCTGGAATGCCTAATTGCGACAAGTGCTTAGTGTAGTATGTTAAAACGATGAGATTGCGTCATGTGGTCATGTGCTTTTCGTGTGTGGTTTGTTATCTGGGAAGTGTCAAACAGGAGTACGGTAACTTTTAAGCAGAAATTCTGGTGTTCAAATCACATTGTTTTGTATAACACCGTGATTCACTATATATTGCCTGGTCATATTTACTAGCACCCAACAGCATCAGCATGAATCTAAATCAAACCTTGTTTTGTATAACACATAGATTCCAGGCCCGTTCGCTTCGCTGAAAAAAAAACGAAACACTGTTTCAACTAATTTGCTGAGAGAGAAAAGCACTGTTTCGGCTGAAAAAATAAGATGAAAAATACGGATTATAAGATAAGCGAATGGGGCCATTGCCCGATCAAATCTGGTTTTGTATAACACACCGATAGATTCTGCTATCGCCTGGTCATATTTACTATTGTTCCCAACAGCATGAATCCAAGCTCATATTTACTAGTGTTCCCAACGGCATGAATCAAGATCTTAGCTGCAGCCTACGGTTGACGGAATAATCTCCGCGTTCAATTCGTGGATGGAACCATCCTGCCCGTCAGGATATCTGACAGTGCATTTGATCAAAAACTAAACTTCTGCCCGTTACGATATCTGACAGTGCATTTGATCAAAACTAAAATGTACGTAACATCAATCCAGAGAAGAAAAAGCAGACGGCGAGAAATACAGAAAAAAGAGAGAGAAGTTGCGCAATTGGATCTCAGCAAGATAGTTGTGTCATCAGGAAGCCTTCATAACGACGGCCTCGAATCAGGAAGATAACGCAGTATTTCTTGAACAGCATCATCGATCCGTGTGATCCGGCAAAGACGCACGCATGACAAAAGAATCAAATCAAAACCGCATCGAAATATACAGCACGCAGAAACACAAATCGGAAAAATACACAGCACGCCGAAACACAAGTCGGAATTTCTTCCGAGGCAGTATCAGGCTATCATCAGCTGATACACCAAGTCGGAATTTCTTCCGAGGCAGTAGCACCACACACACAACGGATCTGAAGGAGCAAGAGAGAACTCAGACAGGGAAGGAATGGGGACTGCCAGGTCGATGGTGTGAGGCGGCCGTGGTGTGGCGACTAGGGTTTCTGCCCGACGAGGGCGCTCACCAGCTTCCGCGACCCCTCCGTTTTATAGGTCCCTCGACCCGGCAGCTGAGCGCCCAGACGGCGGCTAGACCCCACCGCACCGCCCAGCGCACGACGTCACTTTGCCAGGCCGGCGCCGTCACCACCCGACCACACGTCCCCCAAAAATGCGGCCGGCATAGCGGGCCAAAACCACAGCATCACATTCACAGGGCGGTTCGGCCCTCACAGCCCAGCAAGAAATAGGCCTAGCTTGTCGCGCCGATACCGAGGCCCACCCGGACTCCGTCCGCCGGCCCGTCGCTTTCCCACGCGCCCCCCCTTCTGGAATGTTCAGTCACCGTCGCGCCGCACGGGAACCCCCAGAAAAGCCGAGGAGGCAGCACACCTTCGGCCTCGCTGCTCCGGCCTCCCGATCGATCGAGGCGGCGCAGAGCAGAGGAAAACCCCAAGCCGCAACCCCCGCACAGCACCCGAGTCTCGTCTCTTCCGCATCCTCCTCTTCAAGTTCAACTCCAGTCGCCTTCACCGCAATCAGGTCCACCACCACATCTCTTTTCATCCAACCGCCCCGGAGGATCACAGAGAAGAGGGGATGGCGAGCGGCGGGGCGGTGAGGGAGGTGCGTTCGCCGGCGGAGCTGGAGGCGGCGGTGGCAGGGGCGCGGGCGGCGGCCGTGCACTTCTGGGCGTCCTGGTGCGAGGCGTCCAAGCAGATGGACGAGGTCTTCGCGCACCTCGCCGTCGATTTCCCCCACACGGTCTTCCTCCGGGTACGTGCTTCCGCTGCCCCCTTTCGCCTCGCGTTTTCCCGATCGCGGTAGATTCGGTTCTGTTCGGTCCGGTCGCCGATGGATGGTTTCGTTGAGGCGTCTTGTGGATTGGATTTGTAGCAAGACTTTAGGGTTTTTAGTGTCAAATATATGGCGGAGGTAGTTAGGTTTCTACTGCTGCTTGTTGGGCTGCTTTGTTCTACTGTGAGACTTTTCTCCCTCTTTGTTAGGCAACATTGCGCGTTTGTCCAAGAGTGCAAAATGAGAGCTCGGTATTCTAAATTGATAAACTCAATTGTTCTGTCTGTCAATGAAATAATTCGTGAAAGAACTTCTGTGCCTGAATTATCTGTTTATAATATAGTTTGAAACATATTGTAACCTAGTCCTTAGTTAACGGTGAAGTTGTGATAGCCTTACTTTTTAGCTCATAGAGTACTCAAAATTTTGGGATTATGTTTAATATTCTGCATTGCTGATGCTTATGGCCTGGTTTCAATTATATTTTTCACTACTGATTTACTACCCCAATCCAAAAAGAATGCAATTCTAGGTGCATTCTCGGTTAAAGTGTCTAAAGTTTGACCAAGTATACAATTTTTTTTTTTTTGCACAACGGACAAATCCGAATTTCATTACTTAGGAGCAACGAAATTACAGCAGTTTTTAGTAACGAAATAAAAGGACCACCTCCTAAATCCTTGCCTAGTTGGAAGGAACAGAAAGGGTTCCCCCAACCGGCAGCAACAGTCCAAAACACGCACCGAACTGCTCAACGACACCATGACCAAAACAAAAGACCAAGTATATAGGTAAAATATTAATATTTATGACACCAAATAATTATACTATAAAAATATATCTCATGGCAAATCCAATGATACTTATTTAATATCATAAATATTGATATTTATAGTTATACTTTAACTTGGTACTGTGCTAGAGTTAGAGTTACATTCTTTTCTTGACAGAGGGGGTACCAATCTGTTAATGTATTGGATGGGTCAAAGGGAGGATTTTTGCCCCCCTGGGTATCCTGTTATTGTTATGCGCCCAATGTGAATTTTGATTGTTCATTAGTGATTTTAAAATCTGTTAATGTATTTGGTATGCCTTTGGTGTTACAAGAAGTCATATGGAAATATTAAACTCTGGCGCTGTATATTTGGTACTGCCTAAACAAATGGTATCCTAAGTAGCCTGCTTGTATGTTTGATGCTAAACAATTCTGGTGTGGCGTTTATATAGTGCCATGCTGAGATGCGGTAGTAACACTCCGTTGAATCCAGCCAAGTTGAGCCTGTGATATTTCACTGTTTCCATTGAGCTATGAACTAATTTAAGAGGGATAAACACAAGTAAATTAATCCAGTATCCATCTGTTTTTTTCATTGGTCTAGTCATTGAATCACTGAATAATAAGACTGATCTTTTAACCATTTATCATTTTTTTTCATTTATATGCCCATTATGTTCAGGGGTTACTTCTGTGTCCCTTGTTGTGTCCAGTAATTATTGCTTGTTTACTGTCAACATAATTAGGAGGGTGCTACATTGTTTGCTTATTTGTTTCTTGCACTGATGAGTGATGACTGATGACTTTTGTTCAGGTTGAAGCTGAAGAACAACCTGAAATATCAGAGGCACATGGAGTTTCAGCAGTGCCATATTTTGTTTTCTACAAGGTATTCACAATTACCGAATAATATAATTCGGCCTTGCTTCTTGTCAATAAACATTTTCCCCTTTTTTATGCACAATACTTCTGATAGTGTATCATGATACTTGTCATCTTGATGGTAGTTGAATAACCGCATATATTTTCTTACTGCCAATCATGACATCATGAGTACAATGGCTAATTAATGAGATCCGCTCTTTTATTATGGCAAGTGGTTAAGATGATTTGGATCCATGTCTTCAATTTTCTCATCATACTCATGTTGAAACCCTCCTAATTGGCACAACAGTATTACTGTAGCAGACTATTCACTTCTATGTGCAGCGTAGTATCCAAGCACTGTTGATGAGGAACTGTGTGATGCATCATAATTTGGAAGATAGATTAGTTCATACTTAGGATACAATGATCAGTTATCCTGTCATTTTATTTTGTTTCAAATGGATTCCATGCATTAGAAAACTTTTCTTGGTCTTGATAGAACCATGTCAACTGGTCAATCCATCCTATAAAGGGGATCCATTGAAATCAGGCACTGATAGTCTCTAGTCTCTCCGTGCCTGTTTGAGCCTTGACTTGTGGCATGGGAGAAGAGTACCCAGCTAGCTTCCCTATGATGAGTCCTGTCCCTGGTTCTCAGAGCCATACGCATCTGTGTCCACAACAGAGATATGCTCTTTTGTATACTAAATAATAACTTTGTAGGTGTTAAACCATTTTCACTTGAGCCCTTGTTAGGTTTAGGTTTTCTGCTCAAGTTTGGCATGGGGATGATCCACCTCTTCTTTCCTTCTTAATTGAATGAATGCTAGAGCTCCTGCTTTTTCATTAAAAAAAAACTGGAGTCTGCATACATTGAATTTTTGTATAAGTTTATTTTCACTAATTTTCTGTACTCTATGCCAAAGAGTCCATTTGGATGCACAGATTGTGGTTAGGCTTAGGCGTGTTGTATGATTTTGTAGGCTATATAGGCTTTCAGTGATTAAAAGCTTCATAGTGCCAAACGAAGTGTTCCCTGTGATATCAGTGGCTCAACCAGTGGAATGTTTGCGAGTACATTTCACAAAGGTTGCTTGTATAGTTTCTTTTTTTTTTTCTTAGTTATAGCGTCATGGCATGTGGATTCTGGACTTCGGTAGGACTTATATATCTCCAATAATTGTGATACCTGCGTACATTGTTAATTTGTTTGCTACAAATAATAAATTAGTTGATTTTATCTGTGGTCTGGTCACTGCCTCTTACATTTGGTTGTCTTGTGTCCTAATTCTGCATGATGGTATGATACAATTAAATTTTGCACGGAAAACCTTCTAACATATTACTTTTCTATAGTGCTTGTATTATGTATGTAGATATTTCTTGTGTGTGGCAAACCCTGTAATTTTGTCACTTTGGTAATGATTAATGAAATTCAGGCGTGCCCTGGTGTGCCAAAGAACCACTCTTTTGGTTGTTTGACTTCAGGAGTTCCTTGCAATGCTTAATGTTCATTACTGGCTGCTTTGAAACACTTGTATGCTGATCTTTTTGTTAGAAGTGCCCCTTTTCATGCATATGTTGTCTGCTTGCAGGAAGGTAAAACTGTCGATACTTTGGAGGGAGCAAACCCAGCCAGCCTAGCCAATAAGGTTGCAAAAGTAGCTGGGCCTGCTAGTGTTGCTGAGTCTGCTGTACCTGCTAGCCTCGGAGTTGCTGCTGGGCCTGCTGTACTTGAAAACATCCAAAAGATGGCACAACAAAATGGTTCTTCTGCTGCTGAAAGCACAAACTCTGGTAGCACGGAAGATGCATTGAATAAGCGATTGGAGCAGCTTGTCAATTCCCATCCTGTGTTTTTATTTATGAAGGGAACCCCAGAACAACCAAGGTGTGGTTTCAGCCGTAAAGTGGTTGACATTTTGAAGCAGGAAGGAGTCAAATTTGGGAGTTTTGACATTCTTACAGATAATGATGTCCGTGAAGGTATGAAGAAGTTCTCCAACTGGCCCACTTTCCCTCAACTCTACTGCAAAGGTGAGCTGCTTGGTGGATGTGATATTGTTATCGCTATGCATGACAGTGGTGAATTGAAGGATGTTTTTGAGGAGCACAATATTCCCCTCAAACCACAGGGAAGCAAAAATGAAGAAGCAGGTGAACCTGGGTCTGCAACTGAGAAGGGTGGTGCAGTTGCTGAACCAATCGGGCTTACTGATGCTCAGAAAGCTCGTTTGGAAAGCCTTATTAATTCCAGCCCAGTGATGGTATTCATCAAAGGTACACCTGATGAACCAAAGTGTGGGTTCAGTGGGAAGCTGCTTCACATACTTAAGCAAGAGAACATTCCTTTCTCCAGTTTTGACATTCTTTCAGATGATGAGGTTAGACAGGGGCTGAAGGTGCTCTCAAACTGGCCCAGTTACCCTCAACTGTACATAAAAAGTGAACTCGTTGGCGGCTCAGACATAGTGATGGAGATGCATAAGAGTGGTGAGCTGAAGAAGGTCCTGTCTGAGAAAGGGGTTATTCCAAAAGAAAGTCTGGAGGACAGATTGAAGTCCCTGATTTCCTCTGCCCCAGTGATGCTTTTCATGAAGGGCACCCCAGATGCTCCTCGTTGTGGCTTCAGTTCGAAGGTTGTGAACGCCTTGAAGAAGGAAGGGGTCAGCTTTGGGTCCTTTGACATCTTATCTGACGAGGAAGTTAGACAAGGTTTGAAGACATACTCCAACTGGCCTACGTTTCCCCAACTCTACTACAAATCAGAACTGATTGGGGGTTGTGATATCATTCTTGAGATGGAGAAGAGCGGAGAGCTGAAGTCGACCCTGTCAGAGTAGGCACCTAGCATTCTTGCCTCGCTGGCGTTTCTATCATATTGCCTGCATTGGATGACTCTACTATGACATTTATGCCAATGTATTCATAGATCAACGTTTGGTACTTGTCTGCAGTGCCACATTGCTAGAATTGTGACATCTGCAGAAGGAATAACTTGAGACGCTTGTTCGGTACTGATTGCTCTTATATCACCAATTCTATTTAGCAGATGGAAGCTTTTTTGTTCGGGTATTGTCACGATTTATAGATGGATGAAGTAAAATATTTATAGAGTATGAGTATCTGTGTCCATGTAATTGTGGATTTAAGTCATGCCATTGTTCTTGGGAAGTCACATGTGAAAATTATGGTTTTAATTTGAAATTAATTTTGAAAGCACTCAAGTCAAGGTCAAAACTTCTAGAGAGACTCACAATGCACAAGCTTAACATGTAATTTAAAATTTGGTCGTTACAGCATTTATTCATGCAAAGTTTTTATTTAGACTTACCAGGTGATATTTATTGTTTCTAGAACGATATTTCCTCCATTTTAAATTGTAAATTGTTTTGGCTTTGCAAGTCGTTTTGACGTTTCTATATATTTAAATTTAAATATACATTATATCTAGATATCAGTACCACCTGGATGGCATCTACCAATATCAGTAAAAACTGTGAATTTTTCTTCTGATAAGAAGTTAGTTATGTCTGCAAGCCGAATGGCATCTACCGATGTTTTAGATCTAGAAAATGCTTCTGTTAATAAAAAGTACTTACATTCGGCACATGTTGAATTTGGCATATTATATAGTGGTTCCTTTGTGTATTGTTTATAAGGCTGTGGGGTTTAGTCGTATCTTTTAGTTGTTATTAAGAGTGGGTTAGACCAACATATAAGATTTTCTAAAGTCAATGTATTTAATCCCTAGTAAGTCTTTTACGTGAAGTCGTATCTCTTGAATTGGGACATGAAACGACCTCTTTCGATCTACAATATAGCCACTTGCAATACTATCTAAATCAAGTAGTAGCATAAAAAGATATTAATAAAAATAGTGTAGTTTAATCTTTTTCAATATTATATATGTAATAGAATCGTATATGTAAAACAAATTGCATATAGCATATGATAAATATAGGAGGCGTGGTGTGTAGCGAGAATGCGAGACAAAACACATGTGAAGGAAATGTGAACTGTTAATGAAAATTTCGTCGACCCTTTATTCACTAGGAAATAATGACAACTAAGTTTCATAGGAACGAAACTCATCTCTCTCTTTTTTTTTTCTGTATCACATCATCATTTTTGCTAGGGCATGAATAGCGCACGGTAGTTCGGACAGACGCATGCGTCCGGCCGCTCGCGCAGCCCACCCCTGTCCACATTCGCCCCGCCCCACGAGTGCACTCCGCCCCGTCTCTGCGCCTGCCGGTCCGCGTGGGCGACACCCGAGGGCAGGGATGAGCGGCTGAGGACGAGCATGCCCCCAACGCTCCCGACCCGCAGCACCCCAGTCCGCCGCCCCCCGCGCCCCGTCCGCATGGCTAACTTGCCCCGGCCGAACAACGTAAAGCACTTGCAACATAAACATAAGACTAAAAACAGATGAAACATTTAGAACATACACTTACAACATGTGTGTGAAACACATGAAATATCCAAATAAAACACTTGTAATTTGTAACATGAAACCACTTCCTGCAACATAAGACTAAAACAACTAAAACATTTGGAAGCACTTACAACATATGCAACATCCCCCGATATACTACGAAACAATTATAACATACATCTAAAACGTCTAAAACACTTGAAACATACATGTGCAACATAGGGGAGGGAAGGCCGGGCCGGTCGATTCCGGCCGTCTGGGTGGGTGCCAGTGGCGAGCCGCGGCGTGCGAGCACCACTAGCACCGTCCGTGCTCGTGGGTGCCCTTGGCTCGGCCGGGGAAGACCTGAGGCGCCACGACACGTTCGCCCCAGCGGCCATGGCAGGGTCAGCGGCACGCTCGACGACGATGGGGGACGGACGGACAGTGAGAGGCGCAGGTGACTAGGACTGGCACGACGCGGCCGGCGATGGGGGGAAGGGCACGGCGCGGCAGCCCGACAAGCGCGCGGTGGGGAGAGGGGGCGGACGGATGAGCGGCCACGCTGCTTCGGACACCGGGGGATAAGCCGATGTGGGAGTGGGAATTTGTTTTTTTTTCTGAGAGAGATGGGGCCCACTCTTGCGGAGCCGCATCCAGACGAGAGTCACAGGATGGACGCCCGTGGTGAATCATTATCATTTTTCTAGCATGACACCCATAATAAATGAGTATGAAATACGTCTGAAACTCTAATAAGACTCGACTGTTCTTGAAAAAAATCAATGAAGTCTTTCTTTATAAAGAAAACAAGTACGGTCGGTGTTGCCTATACAGGAATGCGTGACCAAAATCTAAAACCATGGTTTCATCAATCTTCAATATCGGTATCGGACGCGCCGTTTCAGTAATAAAAAAAAACAACTCCAGCGGCATCTTGCACGCAAACTAACAAATGATGATCGAAATAATAGTGACAACTTGCATCTAGTTACTATCAAGTAGCCCATGTTTGTTTAGTCGTCGCCTTGCGTATACTCCATCAGTTAAGGGCAATGCTGCGGAACAAATATTACCTACTAGGAGGTAATAGTTCAAAATAATCTGAGCCATTGATTTATTAGATTTTATGAATTAATTAAATAAACAAATACCAAAGGAAACAAAGAAAAATCTGTCAAAATCCCGCAATCACCGGAAAGGGGACACTTCCAGCCGTGATTTTAGAGTCTACTCCGTAACATCCAACACACATTGTCTTCAAAAAAAAAAAATCCAACACACACGTATGGATATGCAACACGTGATGACGTGAAGCTATTACACATTTACACATTCTTAACACAATTTTTTTTTAGAATTCTTAACATAAAATTTGGTTTTTTCAGGGTAACATAAAAATTTGTCACGTTGTCCTTATCTTCACACATAAAACATACTTACACGGCATGTTAAGCCTTAGATATGACACGTAAACAAATATTACTATGACTGGTTATGTTAAATTAGAGACTCATATCTTAATTATGGATGCATGTTACACAAATATGTATGTCGCATCCCAAAACTAAAACAAATATTATAACTCATGTGAGACATGCAACCTTAAATAGGTCAGGTTTAAAAAAAAAACCAAGTTCACGTAACGCACTCTTTGGGCTATAAATGATGACACATAGAAATAATCAATCAACTAAAAAACTTACATATTAGACGTTGGGAAATATCGGCACAGATCTATGTAGCATGCATGTGCATGCACGTCAGATTTGTTTAGATTCGTTTGATAGATATTTTCCTTATTTTCCCTATTTCTCAAACTAAAAATAGATATAAATATATATTTCTTATATTATCTCCTAGGAAGTAATATGTGTTAATAATCATCCAGATCAACGGTCCATAGTTATTTGGAGGTACCACGTCAAAGCCCATCAATTAACGTTTATATACACCGTGGGTACTGGGTAGAGTGCGCCGTGGACTTCTTATCTGTAGACAAACAAAGCTACTGCGTGGGCGGAGCTACGAACCTAAGCAAGCTTGTGTGAAAGAAAAATAATATTCCGACTAGAAATTTACGATCGTTTACGACAATCCACAGCCAAACGAACACAAACAAAGCTACTGCGTGGACGGAGCTACGAACCTAAGCAAGCTAAGGCACAGCTGGGCCGCCGTCGAGATCAGAGATGGCATCGCCGCCGCGCGTATGCGTGACCGGAGGCGGCGGGTTCGTCGCGTCGTGGCTCGTCAAGCTGCTGCTCTCTCGTGGCTACGCCGTCCACGCCACCGTCCGTGATCCATGTACGTCGTCGATGCGTTTTTTTTTTGGGTCAAGCGTACGTGCTGCGTGTGATGGAGATCTCTGCTTTTGTATCAGGTGATCCGAAGAACGAGTTCCTGATGCAGCTGGACAAGGCCTCGGAGAATCTGCGGCTATTCAAGGCCGACGTGCTCGACTCCGGCACACTGGCCGCCGCGTTCGCGGGGTGCGAGGGGGTGTTCCACATGGCTTCTCCGGTGCCTGAAGACAAGATCGTTGACCCTGAGGTTCGATATACTACTACATTAATCACAATCATTTCTGCTAGCTAGCAGCAGTTTACGTCGATGCAAATTAAATCGAAACCCAGATTAGTGGCTCCCACCAAAATAAATTTTACATCAATGTACATACGAAACAACCAGGGACTTGTTGTTTCTCTAGTTTCTTTGCTTCCAAATGGACCTGACTGTCAAGATTGCCAGGGAGTGTCCTGTAATAGCACTTCTTCTGATATGTCCAGCGGCCATTCCTGAAGATTAGCACTTGCAGACCAGTTTTGAGGGTTCGGACAGCTGCTTCAGGTGCTGACCCTTTTCCATACTGTTCTTAAGGCCTTGTTTGGATGCCCTGTAATCCACGTATGTTGGAGTAGAATGGAATGGAACTTAATTTAATTCCATTCTAATTTACTTCAATACATATGGATTGAAATGAATACATGCGCATCCAAACAAGACCTAAGTAGGGGCAATCCATTGCCAGGCAGAACTAGTTTTGTTTTGTGTGGGGGGGGGGGCGGGGGGGAGGGCACTACCTAACCACCAAGAGCAAACTCCCATCTTGCTACACTTCCTCATCCTGCTACTCTTCCTCATGCCCTTCCACAACAATGCGACAACCACCGACAGTAGAACCTATCTTGCCCAGCCGAATGCCGGTTCATGGTAGGTAACATTGAAAAAACAAGGATGACAACTACCAAAATTGCTTTCATCTCTGCCACCGAGCCTGAGCGCCTCCATTGCGATTTAGGATAGGATTCACAAAGTTTGTTATTGGTTTTATACTCCCTCTGTTCCAAGACGCAGGTCCAATTAGCCTTTCCCTTTGCGATCTAGGATTCACAAAGTTTTTTATTTGTTTTATACTCCCTAAGT